CGTGTTTTTTCCTACCTCGCTGCCCTCCACTTTCCCATTCTGGAGCGCTAGCTTTCGCCCCCCCTTGGCCTCAAGTGCTATCCTGTCTCCTGTAAACAGCTCTGCGATCACAACACTGCTTCGGAATGTGTTGTCTTGCATGTCTAGTCTCACTCATGGTGTCAAACTCGGGCAAACATACTCTAACTGGATTCTTTGTCGTTTTCAATCCGTCTTACATGTGTCTAGATTCGATAGACCCTCTGGGCATTACAATCTAACTGACACCTTTCTAGAGATACCTGTGCGCAAAACATCATCTCAACATATAACTTTAGATGTAAGTCAAAGCCACTGAAACGCAAAACCACTGTCCTACCGTCCTCCTACCGATGACAACGCGCGGAAGCTCAAACGTGTTCTCCAAATTCCATCAATTCAAACAAAATACCTCGACGTGTGATCGCGATCTTTTTCGATGCACAGTCGTCCAAGACGTCGGCTGCGCGACACAGTGCCAGAGACGGTTGTACGGGGACACCACCACCACATACACTGCACATGCCTCTCCTGCTCACGCCGGGGACTCGACTCCACCACCTGGCGCAGACATTCAAAACCCTCTCACGCCACGGTGGTCGGGCCGTGCACCGCATAGTACGGATGCCCCTGATCATCTCGTGGAGCCGGCGCTCGTCGTAGCGGTGCATAGAGTCGCCACTGGTCTGCGCCCACGGGATACAAGTGTCCCGACTGCAGCATCCGCAGCAGTCCCACGTGCGTCACGGAAATCGGGCGCCAAATGACGCGCTCTGCACAGCGGCCTCCGCGCGGGTCTTTACCACTGTCCCTGCCGTCCTTGCGGACACTCCACCTGACCCATCCGCTCCAGGTGTAAGTCTTGGTCTCTGTTCAGACCCACCCACAACTTCAAGGCCACTCCTCCATGCCCCACACATTCGCCTCCTGGCACCTCCGGGTGCACATTTGCGGCGGGGACTACACCACCTGCAACATATCCAGTGGACATGGCCAGGTCGGTCGCTCGCTCGTGGTTTTGGCACACACTTTCTCACAAGCCAAAATGCTCTGTGGTCAACGAAGTGCTTGCACACTTTCATTTCTCGCAACCCAAAATGCTCTGTGGTCAACCAAGTGCTTGCGCGCACGAATGCCGTAATACCGTCTTTTGCTCTCTTTTGACTTCAACGACACTGAGGTCCCCGCCACAGCAAGGATGCGCGTACCATCTCTCCCAAAATGGTTGCAGTCGATCATGCAACAAACCATCGGGTTTCCCGAACACACATGCAAGCATTTCACACGAGACTTCTCGTCCAAAGGTCACGCGCCAAGTTTCTTATAGGACACTCTTGTGGGACACTCTTGTGGCACCCTCTGGTAGGACATTCTTCGCGCGAGACTTCCTGCAAAACTCTGACGTCCAGTACCCAAAACGAGCGTTTCGCACGAGATTTCCTCCGAAACTCTGACATCAAGTCTCCAAAACGAGCGTTTCGTCCGAGCCTTACTCCAAAAGTCACGCGTCAAGTCTCCAAAACGAGCGTTTCGTACGAGCCTGCCTTGCGAATGGCCTCCTTCAGAGCTGTAGACAAGGGACGCACCAGCCTTCCTCCAAAAGTCACGCGTCAAGTCTCCAAAACGAGCGTTTCGTGCGAGACTTCCTCCAAAACTCACATGTCAAAGTCTGCCAAACGAGGATTTCGTACGAGACTTCCTCCAAAAGTCCAGCGGCAGCACCCATCAGAGCACACACATCACGCAACCCTGCCAAGCAGTTTCGCGATTCCAGCCCCTCCAAACGACGCCCGCTCAAACGCCAATCCCAATGTGACAGCGACATTCACCTCTACCACAACTCACAACCTCCCGATTCCCTGCACCGGCCACGAATCTTTCCGCGTCCACACGTCTAACGCGCACAAAGTACTGCGCCTGCCACGAAATGTCACCTCTGTCACACATCGCAACGACTCCCTGCGCCTGCCACGAAAATCCCACTTCCACACCTCAAAACCTGCGCAAAGTCCTGCGCCTGCCACGAAAAGTAACAATTCAATGTCATCTCGTGTGAGCTTCAACAAAATTTGCACCACACCACACGTTTGGAATGATTTCGACCCGTTCTGAGCACACTCCCAGAGTCCAAAATCGGCATTTCAGCTGAGACTTGTCACGAAAACAGAGCTTCGATGCCACACCCTGAAACGCAAATCCCAATGGCACGGCCACATCCAACGCCCCAAAAACACGACTCTCCAAACGATAATCCCAATGGAACTGCGTAGCAAACTGCGGATCTCACAAAATGCTGCGTGAGAGTGAGTGTGAGTGTGAATGTAAGTGTGAGTGAGGGGCTGTGCCTGCCACGAAATCTGCGCGTCAAGGTCCACGAAGCTGGGCCTGCCACGAAATCTGCAAACGAGCCACAAGTCCAAAAGCTACGATTCACTGCACCTGTCACGAAATCAGAGCGCCTCGACGATCACCACCATGTCCAAAGTGCTGCGCCTGCATCTGCACTTCGAAGTAAAGCCGCTCCGATCCCTTGCGCCTGTCACGAAAAGTCGACTTTGGACCACCAAAAACACCAGGTTTCCCTTGTGCCTGCCATGAAAAGTGACCATCACCATGTGCGAAAATGCACGCGGCACCACAACAAGAGCGCAGTCGCTAGAAGTACCCGCCGCGGCCACCCAGATTTCGCGAGCCTGCGCAGTCGAAATGCACTTCGAGGACTTCAAGAGGCATGAATGTATAGGACTGCAACTAGCAGCGAATTAGCCGCGCACACCCGCGTGCCCCAGCGATCTAAGCACAGCTGCTTAACCCTTGCCGTAAGAACCCCTAAGTGTGTCCACACTGGTTGGGGAAAAACACATTTCGATGTTTACTGTTCTCATCGCGGATATGGTCGAAGAAAAGGGGCGACCCCCTGGTAAAAGCGGTGAACAAGTTCGGTTTTACCGTTTTTGCCGCGGATATGGTAAAAAACGGGGCGACCCCTCCGGTAAAGGCGTTAAACAAATTCGATTTTGACCGCTATTACCGCGGATATGGTAGAAAAAGGCGACCCCCTCGTAAAAACGATAAGAATCGATGGTAAAAAAGGGTGACTCCGCGGAAAAAACATTATTTTTACTGTTTTTGCCGCGGATATGGTAGAAAACAAAAGGGCGACCCTTCCGGTAAAAACGGTAAAACCACAATTTTCAACAGTTTTTACCGCGCGGATGCCTCAGGGGAACCTGGTAGCTCGAACAACAGCGCTAAGCCACCACAGTCATTTGGGGAAACCTTGATTTTTACAACCCAACATCTCTCCATATCTGATGGATCTTGAAGCTTTGACGGCTGAAGGAGGCGCTCTACGCCCCGCAGCTGCACAGCTGGTCCTTGGTGGCCAATGTGGCGTCGATTCTGCTGCTGTTGCGACGCTACTGGGCAAAGAATCAATGGTCCCCGTGGAGTAACCGGGGTTTGATGGGTCAAGGCCGCGATGAGCTTCACTTATGCACACGTTCTTGGTGTGAAGTGCAGGGGGTGCTGAGTTTTGAGAAGCTGGCGAACGATTGGGGCAATGAAATCCATTGAGGTATGGCACATCCAGAGCCAAGTGAAGCACCCCGGAACTTCCGGGGTTGGTTCACCAAGAAAATGATCCAACACGGTGTTTCCTGATGTCCTAAATGTCATCTACGCTGAGGGCAGGCTAACCTTAAAACATGTTGGGTGTTCCTTGAACTTGTGCTTTCTTGCCTTCAAAACGTATATTCTATGGAAGTGTCAACTGGTGCAATAGTCTGCATAGCAGTCAACTTGTGGAACAACTCGCACTGTTGAAAAACTAGCCGCGACCTTTTGATTTACGGGATTGGGCATTTTTGCAGGACTCTACAGAGGTAGAGATTGTGCGGATGTCCTTCAATAGCAGTACCTCCGCTCCGTGCCGACCTCAGGAGACAAGCTCTTGCTGGCGGAACAACGGCACCCACAGGCCAGGGCCGGCCAGGGTAGTTGCACCTCATCAAATGGTTATGGCCAGAAAGGACTGGGTACTGTAACCGCTTTGGCTACCAGGGTGGCTCCTTCAATCCGTAGTGTTTGGCCATTGTTTTACACTTTTCGATGTACCCTCGCGGGTTTGGCACTGTCCAGTTTTGTACATCACAGGCGGCCATTGCCTTGCATCGCTGTTTGATGATGTCGCAATTACAGCCACTTGGCATGCGCGTGGCTTTAGACACTGGTCCAGATCCTTTGCCCTTCAAAGGAAGCAATTCCACATAGCTGAACATTGTTTTCCGTGGCCCGCTGAGGAAAAGTGGGCTTTGGCAGGGCAACACGGTGGCACGGCGCACTGCCAGTATGTGAGCAGGCCCGTTTTTTGTACTGGAAAACCATGGAATAGCGTTTGCTTCGGATGCGCGATGTCCAACGTTCTACATGACTGTGATGCTCGATGCTCGACCTCAAGAACCACAGCAAAGCCTTGGACCCGTCTCCAACCCCTACACCTGCAGTGCTCCTTGGTTTTCTCGCTGAAAAACAGAAGTCTCCTACAGGCCAGCGGCTAGCGCTCGATCCACCGATGGCTGACCTCCGTTCAGTGGTCGTCCTCCAAGCGAAGCAGTGTGCATGCTGTATGAAGATCAGTGGTGTGGCTGAGTGATGGTGACCTTCGTCAACCTCTCGCGAACGGCGAACGAGCAAACCAGCGCGCTCAGTTCGCTCCGTGCGTGTTGTTGCTGGAGGAAAAGGGCAGAAGTTCCCATGCTCAGTCCGCGTGTTTCCGTGTGGAGTGTGGAAGGTCCTGGTGTTGCCGTCAAGTTGCCGTAGCCTGTTTGAGGGCGATTCCTTAGGTCGCTATGTTGATCGTAGCACCTAGTGGCACATTTCATAGCTTTGTGGGAACATAGACGAGCAGCATGTCACGCTAGATCTGAGCACATAGATACGATATGATACGATAGATCATCATAGATTTGATTTCCTGTCAGGCCTTTCTCCGCCTGGGCATGCCTTGCCGGACTCTGCAAGAAGGCCTGGGATTGTGCTCTCAAGTTCCGAGAGGATCCATCCTGGGATTGTGTCACAGAAAGTGCTTTTGCGCACTCATTCTTCGGGAGCTGTTTTCGGCTGACTTGTGGCTCCTTTTGCCAGGCTTGGCGGCCCGTTGCTTGCAGCCTGAGTTGGCAGGCATGGAAGTTCCTCCTTTGGCTCCTTTTTGGGCCAATGCCAAAGACTGCTGAAGAATCATACGGATTGCTTTCTTGGCTGCTTCAACGAAAGAACAAACCTGGAGCCTTAAGCCTTAAGCCATTCTAGTTGAATGCAAAAGTGGGCCCTTTTTGGACCTTTGCTGCATTTGACCTTTTTATACTGCTATCTTCAGTAGCAAAAGGCCTCACCAGCGACGTGCTTCTCAAGCTTCTGGGCTGTGTGCCCCTTGAAGCTCGAGCGGCGCCTGGGGCACCCAGTCGAGCGCCGCCGCCTGTCGTGGCCGTCATGGCCGTCGTGGGCTTGGGACGGTGAGGTAGATGTTTGGATTGCAAGGAGCTTTGGGGGAACTTCTGAACCTTTTGTTTGCTCAAAAACCGCCCTGGTTGGGTTTGTTTGCGCGGGATGATGGCGGCACTAAGAGCCGATTTTGCTGTTGGGAACTCTGTCAGAGGTGGACCCAACCAAACCCGGTGAACTGCAAAGCAGGTGCGAAGCCCTTGGAGCAGAGCTGGCCGGGCACATTGAGGAGTTGGATCATCCAAGACGGCTCGTGCAGGCCCGACGGGTCCGAGGGCTTCCCCACGACGCGACGCGCGCGCGCGGCTACGCCCGCGGGGTTCGCCTGCGCAGGCTGTGGAGGCGATGGCAAAAGTACGGCTGGCTGAGGTACGACATCTGTGTCGGTTGAGGTGAGGACACTTAGAGTTGAGGCCCCTTCATCTTCCTCTACGGGGCCCATTTTCTTCAGGCCTTCTATGGAACGATATTTCTCAGTGCGCACTTACGGGGCTTGAGTTGGACGTCCTTCTCACAGACGAACAGATTCTGGAACTTGAAAATCCTGTTGGGATTAGAAAAATATGCTGCTTGTTCAGGGAGAGATGGGAGGCAATGGTCGTCCTTGACCCGTCAGACCCCGACTTGCCCAACTTCGGCATTCTGGTCAACGATCCACCGCCAGAATCCACAATTGCCAGGAGAAGCTCTTGAAACCACTTGGCTCGCAGATCATTTATTTCATGGTCGGGCACATGGAGGGGTCCTGGCCAGCATGAACAGTCGAACATGTTTCGGTGGGTGGCAAGGATGTCCTCTCAAGCTTTCAAGCAACGTTGGGGCAGGGCCTTCTAGTTTTGTGCAAGGCATATCAGTACTTCTTCTTCATTGTTGTTGGTGGTGTGCCACCAAGGTCGACTTTAGTTCCAAAGATGTTGCCAGAACGGCAATGGCTTGCCAGAAGCTGTGTGGGGCACAGTTGGGGAATTGCATTTTATTGTCTCAAAATGGCTCAACTGGATACCTAGCACACAACGGATGTTCCAGCTTGGCATTCTTGATCGCAGATAGCAATTGCACACGGGTGTACTCTTGACTCTTGCAAGCAAAAACCGAAGACAGGCCAACCGTGATCAATTTAAGAAAGGAGACCTGCTTGCACCATAAGCAAATCTTTCTTGCAGCTTTAATGGCAAGGATGGTCCAAGATGGCGCTGTCTTGGAAGCCCTCGTGCGGCAGGCCAACCCGTGGAAGCTTCCAACGGGAGGTGGCAGAAGGAAGTAAGTATCGGAGTATCGGTGTTTCCAAGGGTTGGTTGAACATCTGAACAGCTGAACCCTGGTAGGTGACTAAGGCTATTGTCTGAGCCACTTCACCTCTGGAAAGTAGTGTCTCAAAACGCAAAACGGCAAAGCCTACCAGATCAATAGATTCATCCATCCTCACCCATCCTCTCCGCAACACACTTTGCACTTTGCACCACTCGCAGTCTGCACTTAACCCTGCCGAATCTTGTCAATCTCCCGACACCGGGACAACATGTTTATAGAATTGTGTACTCGCATGCAAGCAAGGCAAACTGGGGAGTAGACGTGACAAAAGGAACTTCATCAAGCGATTGTCTCAACATGACTCAACCGCTGAGGTGTTTTTTTCTTTTTTCCGGGGGTCGACTCAACCACGGTGAAGCGTTCGATGAAACAAGTGAAAGTTGGCACTACAAGTGAAGTGTTTCCCAAAGGTTTTCGTGGTGTTTTCGCCACTTCACGTGTGGCTGATCTCAGGGTGTGCGGCGAGGCTTTCGCCTCAAGGCACCCCAAATCGAGGCGAGGGATTCCGCGCGTATCTACTTTTATGGTTTCAGGGGAGGGAGAGTTATTTTAAGTGTGTCGTGTCCTGCGAAAAGCCATGGGTCGGTACTATAAGAATCACCCGAATCCCCAGAATTACCAGGATCCTGCAGGCTCCGAGTGTTCCGACTTCCTAACCGGTCTTTCTATGCCTGAGACAGATCTGAGGAAAAGGTATTCACCCGCTGAAGGAGAGTCCAAAGGCCCCCATTCTCTAAGAAGGGTTCCCCATCCGCTCCCGGCAGTGTGGCTGTTGAGGCGGTGGTGGCGGCATGTCATGCGGCGGGCTTTGAGCATCCCATGCTGGTGGAGCTCCTGGAGGGTGTGGGATCCAAGACTAAAGTGGGTTCTTCGAGCTTCCTAAGGTCTGAAGTAGGATATTCTGCAAGGAGTTTTTAGGCGAAACATATCTTGCCAACCACTGCCTTAGTCTTAGAAAAGGAACATGTGGCGGTTTATGCAAAGTTCTTGGACCCAGACAGATGAGCTTTCAAAGTTTGGCTGTGTGGACTGGTTGCTGGAGGCCTACAGCAGCAGAAGCAAAAGCAGTCCGAGAAGGAGCAGGTGCCACCTTGGATCTAGTACTTGGATTTGAGAGGGCTGTGGACATTACCAGAAACCGCCGATAAGGATCATGAATCATGTCGTCACTTCGGCTCATGTTTCAGCTTTGGCAATTGGTTCCAAGCGACCCTGCTGAGGCAGCTGCAGCAGCAGCAGCAGCTGCCCCACAAGAGGGTCAATCAGATTGGGACTCTGTGGAGGAGACGGGGATTTCAAGCAATTGGTTTCAACACAGCCAATCGTGCTTTTGTGGGGTTTGAACTGAACCCAAGAGAGGTCATGTGTGCGACCTGATCGTTTCATATCGTTTCTCCGAAGCTGATCATTGAAAAAGGGCAAACCTGCGACCAGCGTTTGAGGATACCCTGCGGGTCAAAGTGTTTGGAGAGCTTCAAGCAATGAAAAGTATCAACCAAAGTCTTTGATGCATGTTGATTGAATGTTCTTTTGTGGGGCCACAGCAACAGCCTACTTTGCTACTTTGTTTGTGTTCGAAGGGCCCACATGTCTTGTCCTCCTTCCACTCGTCCTCCACAGACCAAGGACCTCGCATCATGCCTGGTCGCTTCACGCTCGAATCGAGGGGTGACTCTGACCACGACATCCCTTTCCCGTTTCAATACCTTTTCGGCATCGGTCGCGAGCCATGTATTGCACGCGTTGGCGTCGCTTGCGCAGGAGGCACCAATGTTCTCGGAGCCCTTTGAGAGCGAGGCCAGCATTCTTTCTGAGCACTTTCCTCGTTTGATTGATGATTCCAGCTGGCTTCGACTGCGGTACCTGTTCATAAGAGATGCATACACCTTGTTCACGCGTGTGTCGGAATGATGATCACAATAGGAAGTATTCAAAAACAAGATCCTTAGTGAGAACAGGCACAAGTGATTTCTTCTCGTGCGGCCACACCAGGATTTGTCTGAAGACCAGACAGGCCCACGCAGTGGCCCACGCAATCTCTCAGGTCGAGGGCTCCGATCGACCTCCAAACTCTATTGGACCTTTCTTCCTTTTCTTTTTTCTTTATTTCTTATAGCAATGGCCTCCAACCTACTAGCGATGGGCTCCAAGAAGACGACTTTTCACGATTCTCTTCAGATTGGGAGGGCAGCTAGCTGCCTTGACCACAGCTTTCACCCAGTCTCCCATCATCTCCTATCATCTCCCAAGACCCAAAGCCAAAGTTGATTTCACCTGCGAAAATCGATTGTTCACTCAGATGGCGTGTTCAAGAGGGTACCTGTACCAGAGATGGACACACTGATACATAAAGAGCATTATAGAGCCGTACGATGTCGTTAACCAACACCTTTCACTGGCACAGCTGAGGAAGTATGATGCATTTGACAATGTGATAACACCTGCACTTAGCTCTATGACTCTATGGCTTCCTTAATGTTCAGGAAGCTTTGCTGCTCTCAGTAGTCTCCGGACCGAGACTTGGCTGGACTGTTCCGCATTTTCGGATGGCACATTAGAGCTGGACTGTCCAGGAGGAGCCAGTCCAAGTTCAACAGCGGCTTCCGAGGCTCGAGGAGGATCTCTCCGTTCGTTTGGTTTTCCCCTTTTGTGGTGCAACTCTATTGCTTCGTTTCGGTGCATCTTTGGAACCCTTCGGTCCCGGGGTCCCCTTCGGTCCTATGACCACTCGATCTGCGGGACCCGGGGCGGGCTACCCGTGAGGCGCTTCACCAAGGGCGCTGGTTCCAGCGAACGTGGGAAGAGGCGGAGGATGAAGCTACGAGGACGGATTGCAACCAGTGGTGCGACCCCTGTGACCCCTCATGCAACCTCAACTGGGTCAGGTTCGGCCCGTTGTGCTTGGCTGCCCAAGTGAGAAGGAGTGGCACAAGTGGTGTGGCCACTTGAGGGAAGCTGATGAGGTCAAGGGATCCTGGTCACGAGCTGTGCCGCCGAACATCTGGCTCAAACAGACACATCGCTTCGTCTGTAAAATCGAAATGAGATGATTCGTTGAGGGAAACTGATGTGGCTGTGACTTTGGCTGACAATTCAAAAATTCGAACATGTGAAGTCTTGGGCAGCGATGTTCTCTTCCGCGTCCTGTTAGTGCATTGAGCATTGGATCCTTTTGGACTAGCAAATTCGGGCGGTATACAGACCATATATATATATATATATGTTGGTCCATAAGCCTCCTCCCAACTGGTTTTGAAGTTTTCGTGTAGCATATCTGGCATATCTCATATCTCTGCTTTCCTAATGCATCATGATTCATGATGCTCCTTGCAGATTTGTCTGGTCAGAGGTTCAAGGGGCTTTGTGGGCATGATCCAGTTTGCATTCTTCGTCACCCCTTCGTCACTCCATGGAGTTCCGCTTCGGAAAGCTGAGGAGACCACTTGGTGCGCTCGCATGGCTGCTGCTCTCTCCTGCAATGGCGACCCGCACGGCGATGCATTCCGAGCTGAAGGCCTGGACGCGGTATGGTGCTGTCAAGGAGCATCCCAATTCGGTGCAGAATGACCTAAGGCCTCCTGGCCTTACTACGAACGGAGCAAGAACGCTACTAGGGGCTCCTTGCATCGCTACGAACGGAGCAAGGACGCTACTAGGAACAAGTGCATCGCTAGTAGTAACAAGTGCCTTACTAGTAGTAACAAGAAGCTATTAGAAACAAGTGCATCGCTACTAGGAGCGATCGGACGCTACTGAATTCCGTGCCTTGGAATCCGACGGGCACCGGCGCACCGGAGGTCCAAACCGGGGTGGTTCCAGCCCTGGTGAGTCGCGCCATGCGGGTGGTGATGCGGGACTCCAGGGAGGCCGTTCTGGCCGCAGAGGCCTTGCAGAAGAATGCGCCCCTCGGATCAATGCTGGTTAGAAAAGCCGGGTGGGGCGTTTCTTCTTGGAGAGAGGCGGTAGAGGTTTTGACCTCAAAGGCACTTTCTTTCCGTTTCTTTTTCACACCAAACCCTTCAGCAGTCTTTAGCTTCTCTACTTTGTTTGTATCATCACCTTGCGCCGCACTTGGCCTCTGTTTGTATGATGCATGCTTTCAACAAATTCCTCTCTAGCCTGAGGTCAGCAAAGCGGGAAGAGGCGCGGCAAAAGCAAGAGGCTGCCCACAACAAGAGTCAGGAGACACACGACATCCATTTGGCTGTTTGGCTCAGAGAACGTAGACTTTGAGCTGTCTGGCTCGTTGTTCGGTCACCCGTCACCCAACCCACATCCTCCCGTCTAAGAGGGTCCGGGTACTGTAAGTAAGTAATTCACTTGAAGCGTCAAACAACGATGTCTCAAAGTTCAACCCTCTGGTTTCAATGAGCGCTTCGACACGGAACTCCGCAAGCTCGGCAAGCTCGGCACTCGGCTGACGGCTGTGGAGGAGATGGGTGAACTCGTGGCGAAGACGCAGGAAAAGGAGCAGAGGTGAGGTGAATGAGCTTATGATATCTTATGATATCTTATCACGAAAGCTAGCACCAGCTAGCTGGAGTTGTTCTTGCTTTTGCGAGTGAGGGGCTGGAATCCTCGAGAGCGCCGCATCGCGTGAAAACTTCATATGTAGGGGGGGCCCTCCCACCCCGCGGTTCAACTCCTCCTGGGACGTCTCTGGGACGTGTGTATTTCCGCTGGCATAGTGCTTCACCCCCGCCTTGCTAGCTTTCGTCACCAACCCTCGGCCTCAAGTGATTATATGTTTATGATAATTTATATGATTCATTTTTCTACGAGCCCGTGTGACTGGAATCGGTCTTTGACCTGAAACCATGAGAATGGGCACTGGAGCCGAGTCCTCTGTGTTGGGCTTTTTTGCAGGCTTTTGGCCAAGCAGCAGGAGGTGTCAGAACTGATGACCACTGAAAACGAGTCGCAGCAAGAGTGGAGGACTCGCAGTGTCCAAAATCATCAGGGTGTGTGAAGGATCCTCCTGTACCATTGGGGTTTGAACTTCCACAGCCGAGAAATCAGCGGGTTGCCGCGTTTGGCATTTCCTGGCTCAACGAGTTTTGTTCCAGGACTAAAAATTCGGAGCTCGAGCAGATGCAACAGAATCTGACCAACGAGAGTGGCGTCTCTGCACGATCAAGTCCCTTCTTTCTTTCTCTTTCTTTGGCCACCACCCTGGTATGCTGCAAAGAGGCTTGACATGATGGGTTTGGAACACAAGCGTATATTTCTTCCCAGTTCATTTCTCAACCGTTTGTATTTCAGAAGTGTTCTGCCGCCATTTGCCTGGTTGTTCAATCGATACCAAGCCGAAAGGCAAGACCTCAGGATCGTATGCGGAGCTGAAAAAGCAGATTGAGCAGGAGATAGTTGACCTGACCAACAAGTGCTTGGCTGCAAATGGTGAATCTGTGTGTGTATCTGCGCCAACGAAGTTATGAACTTTTGAACGACTCTGTATGACCATACGGAATAAGCCAGTTGACAGGAATGATGCATTTTGTCAAACATCCTTGATACCGACATAGCCCAGGAGTGACAATGTGACATCCAATTGTGTGGTTCTTTTTCCAAGCATCAGATCACTAAAGCACGGACACCTTTGGATTCTGGTCGATTCTCAACCGGACGCGGCCGGTTTTTGGGTTTACCAGGCAGCGTCAAGCATACGAGCGCCTGGGGCATCTGCAAAATGCTGTGGATGAAAAGCAGGTGCCGAACATGTGGTTGGCGAGCTCAACATGACTGGATACTATTGTATGACCAGAAGCTGACCACGGAGCATGAACACAAATCCCAGGTCATTCGGGTAGGACCGGGTAGGAGATGTTATTATGTTCTATTCATCCGCAGTCAGCATTGCTTTATTTCCTGGCGAGATCTCTCCCTGGCGGTCTCAGGCGGAGGTCTTGCAGCTGCGAGAGGCGGCAGAGAGCCATGGGAGCATTGCCAGGAGACTCCCACCGCCATGCTTTCGCAGGGGCGGGATGGTGAAAAAAGGAGCAGTGAAGAGTAGAGTGAGTAGAGTCAAATCCACCAAGAAACAGAAACAGAAGTTGAAAGTTGTGAAGAACAGTCTGAAGTTGTGTTTCATTTTTGGGAGGGCTGCTGAGGCTTGTGGTTCTTCTTTTTCCTGCAGGCAAGATTTCGGGCACCATGAAGGTGAACAGAGATCCCTGAGCTGCAAAATCAGATAGTAAGTCAGAGACCGGTTGGCGAGGCTGAGTCCGAGTCCGAATTTATACTTAATATAGTAGTATGTTTGTCGTAGTAATTATACTTCAAAGAAAGGACTTGGGTGTACTGTAGCTCTGTGAGTTTTGCTAGTTATGGATGACTCTTGTGAATACTAGATTGTGTATGCAAATTAAGTAAGTACAATATTATAACTGTTTTTCGGAAAGGACTCAGGACTTTACTAACCATCATCATCCGCTGTTACTGGTCATAGGATATAGTGTCAGTGTGGCTGCACTTATCCCCCCGGACCTCGCATGTCATCCCTGACACCTTCCGTATCTTCCGCGTCCAAAAGCGCATTGTGCCGTTGGCCGACCATCCAAAACAGCGCCCTCCACGCGGCACGCAGGAAGGCCTCGTTGGCGGCCGACGAGGTGGAAGCAGATCTCGCCCAAGTCCGGGAGCTCTGGGGCAAGCAGCAGATCTCCGCGGAGGCCGCCGAGCAGGAGCGAGGGAAGTGCTGGGATGGTTTGTTTGAGGAATCAGAGCTGACCGTTAGACTTGGAGTGGGCGGAGCAGGTGAGGGTTCAAGATACCCAAGGCTAGAAAACTGCCATGTGCAACATCTTCTAGATTCTTCTAGAATCTAGATCCTTAAGCTGAGTGGCACCAACCACTCCTAAAGATAACTGCTTGGCGAGCATGGAGCAAAAGCTTCTTCCTGTTCTTCAGATGGTGAATCTCTGGGAAGACCACAAAAACAGACAATGAGCAAGTGAAAAGCTCCGGCTAGCCATTGCCAACTTGGCAAACTTCTGGTGTATACTATCCCGCACTTGTAGAATTGCATGAACAAGCCCTTGAAGAACGATTGAAGGGTTGTATCCATGCGAATCGCTTCACTTCTGGCACCGGGTGCATCCGGGTTCCCCGGACGAACGCGGACGCGGACGCCGAAGGACTTCCTGCACGCCAAGATGGACGCCGACGCGGCCGAACGCGCTCAGATCGATGCCACGCGGGAAATGGCCCGGCTGAGTGACGTGAAGAAGCTGGTGGTTGCAGCCCGCAACAGCGTACAGAGAGCCTCGGCCAGTTGGAGGTGAACAAAAACTCCCTGGCTCCCTTGTGACTGGTACAGCGGTTGCAACGGTATACATATATATATATATATTTATATAGGTGCCCGGTGCCCTGGTTTTCTGGCACATAGACACAGAGTAGCCTCAAACGCTTGTATTGGAAGACTGGCTCTTGACATCTGAAGCACTCCATGTGGTCCACAACGGCCCAGTGGGGTCGACTCCTGAGGCCTGTACCTCACGGTGGACGATTTGACCCGATCCGTGGAGAAGCGCTTCTCAGAGGCCGGCTTCGTTCGGGCCGGCGCGGGCCGGGCGAGCCTCGTCCGAAATCCAAAGACGCGAGGCCTTTTCAATTCAAATAGCAATGTGCAAGGAGGCTAATTAGTAGCTCCTGGCATCGCTACTAGGAGCAAGGACGCTAACTAGGCTAACTAGGGGCTCCTGGCCTTACTACTAGGAACAAGAAGCTACTAGAAACTATTCCGCTGAATGCTGGTTCTCCTAGTGCACATGTGATGCTGCTAGCTTGGGTTTTCCAAGATCGGATAGATGAGCACGGGGGCAGGTCGGATGAAGGGCACCACGGCTGCGTCTCTTCGTTTTCACGGCCGGGTCTCTACTACTATCTAGAATAGCAAGGCGCTACTAGGAACAAAGGGCATCGCTACTAGGAGCAAGAACGCTACTAGTAGCTCCTGGCCTTATACCGAACAAGAAGCAGGAGCTCTCCAGTTTGTGCTTAACTAAAGAATCGATCGATCCGTCGATCCGCTCACGCAGAACACCACTGGCCGGGCAGCTTGGCAGATCTTCCGAGAGGATCCCAACACCCGATCCATGGCATTGAGCTACAACGCAGTGACGGCCGCCTTCAGGTGCCTTGTTCTGATTTTGTTGGTTTGCTGCATTTGCAACTTCTTTTCGCAGATTGAGTTCTGCAAAGGTTCAAGTCCTTTTCTTGCATCTACAGGGCTCAATGGGCTCAACTGCATGTCAGGCCACGCCAGCCACTACAACCTCGTCAAAAATTCCATTGCTTTGTATGCGCAACACACCAATCCTCATGAAGTCATGAGGATTGGTGTTGGTCAACATGGTGTTGGTCAACATGGTGTTGGTCTTGAATGTCGAATGGTCTAGGAGGATCTCTTTGTTGGGTGTTTGACCCCAAACATCCACTCTGACTGGCCGGGCCTTCAGACGACCTGGACCTTCCAGGCGGCTTTACATCAAGTCCAAGGACAGAACTGAGCTTGGCGGATGGATGGTCTTGAGACATGGAGAGATGAATTGGTTGCTGAATCGATTATTCGCTTTTGATGAGTCACCCCAAAAGCAAAGTGCCTTGTGGATGCGTGGTTTCACATACCCAGTTCCAGTTCAATGGCCTTTCTTTCTTGCGAGGCCAAAGCTCGTTGTTGGTTGTCGGACAACTCCACTCCTGTTATTGCTTGCATGCATGTGTAAATATGCGCTCTGATTCACTAACATGGAAGTGACACAATGGCCACGCGGAAGGCAATGTTCCTCTACAAACAGGTTGCATGTTCATGCTTTTTCCACTTCCGTGCTAGTGAGCCAGAACGTAATTTCTTCCACACCATGGACTGCGCTTGTGTAAAGCACTGCGACTTCAGAGGGGTCCAACTTTGCCTCGACCAGAACCTGGCAGGACATGTACATGTTCATGGCCGGAAGCGTCGACGAGATCCACGAGAACACGCAAGCAGCCGTGATGATGCTCTGCGACCCAGATGGAAGCCTTGAAGAGGACGATGTGTGTTCCACTTCTCCCAGTACCCGCGGCGCCGCAAAATTCCTGGGTTCCAACCGCAGAGATGGGGTCGTTTTCTCCTCAGGCTAGGAGCCTGAAATAGAGAGGATCGTCCGCAAAAATGGAGATGGCGAGGTTCTCCCGGTCGTTTTCCGGTCCTTGGAGGTTGTGGTCGGTGGGTGCGGACCTCGCGCCGTCGTGCCGTCGTGCTGTCCAGGAGTCTCGGAGTGCAGGGAACTTCACCAGCTACTCTGAGAAGTGTGGCCAGGGTCTTTGGAAATTCCTGGGGCTCCCTGCCTGCAGATGCTCCAAGGGCTGGGAGATGTTGGAAGCCAAGTATTGGTTGAGGAACGGGGAATAACCTTCGATCGGGAAGCCCCCTTTCAGGCGAAGAACCATCTGGCGAATGGTCAACTGGTCGTACCAGTTTGCAGATACAGATCCTGAGATAGCAACTTTGGTCTTCGATCCTCCACACCCCGGACCCGATCCTCGAGGGCATCGTTTGTGCAAGTAATGTTCCATCCGTTTCATCAGTGGCAAAGATGTGATGTTCCTTCCTTCGTGCATCGGTCAAACATGCCGTCAAACAGAAGACAACCGGGCAAAAGAGGCATTGTCAACATTGTGGCTGTATCGGTTTGCATTCAAAAGCGTTTGTCACCTTGGGGTATCTCTCTTTTTTTTGGGGGACCCCTGTTTCGAAGATCAACAGTGAGTCTTTCAACGATACCACTTGTCACTTCCTAGGATCGAACGTCAAAGCTTCCCCGGCAAAGAGCACGACCGCACAGTGGATGAAGACATGGACAAAGAGCTCCTGCGGGGAAGCCTGGTTCAGAGAGACCCGGTTGGCTGCAATGAGAACAGTGCCTGGTCTCAAGACTCACCGGACTGGTCTCAATGCTGCTGAGAGCATGCACACCTCAGGCCAGTGAAAGATGAGGGAGGAGAGAAGGCGGGTGTTTCTTAAAACACCTGAAGGTGTTTTTCGTCGCTGAGTCAGTCGCCCAGCTTTTGATGAGAAGCACATGAAAGTGGAATGAGTCGGGAGTTGACTCATAGTTGACCAATGGACCCGTGTCATCCCATCTCCACGGGTCACTTGCGACGGACACACTTGAGACGCGCAGATGTTGACGCCACTCATGGTGGATCCGGTGAATGGTGAAGATGAAGATGGAGGAGTCGGACTCAGCCGGCAGCGCTTTCGGCTCAAACTCGGGTCCTGATTGGCTATTGGTTTTGTCAGTTTGATGCTATTAGGGAGTCTGGAGAATGCGCCGGTTGCATGAACTTGTAGGACTCCTCTTCCTTTTTTCTAGGATGTGTGAGCTTCAGTTTGGGCCCTGGGCCAGCCTGGGCCCTCAAAGGTTGGTCAATTTCAGACGGCTGGGACGAACAGCACCGTCAACTTCCAATCGAACCAGCGCGACATCCTGAGGAGATCTACCTCCTCCATCTGCATGGGCCAAGTAGCACGGAGAAAGAAGTGCTTTGGGCGCTTGGGCTTTGGGAAGGGCTTTGGGTTCGGCTGAAACGAGTCATCTTGGGGTGCTCACCTGGGTGGGGAACCCTGATTGGAGCTGCAGCCTTCAGTCAGGAACTGAAGAACCATTGACATCTAGTGACTAGTGACCTAGGACCTAGTGTGCGGCATGTCCATTTCTCAGGGGCATACATGGCTGCAGGACTTCCCTCTTGGAGGATAAGGACTGCCTGGTGTGCCTTTTGGCCACGACAATGCTCGCACCTCTGCACCTTGGAATGGCCTTTGAGGTCCAAACATGGGAATTGGCCGTGCCACACCGAAGGCCACCTGCCACGTATGTCATGGACAGAATTCCATGTGTGAAAGACTAGCAGAGCCAAAGTAGCAACTCGATGGAACTAGCATATGAAGCAAGACATTGGATTGGATTCACCGTGATGGCTTCACCGGAGAAGCCAGCCAAGCTTTTGGATCCAGGAGATTCGCAGAATTCTGCACCAGGTCGACCGCACCGTGGGGGAACTCAGTCCACCACTGTGAGAGAAGCCCTTCTCGGAGCGGGGGCCACACCGGTGACCTCCGTTTGTACCACACCGGTGGCGCCCGGCCTCGAGAGGTCCTTCGACCTGCTGGACTCCGAAGTGGATCCTGGCTGTGTTAGGGAAAGCCATGTCATGCGATGCGATGACGACGTACGTTAACATGCGTCTTCCTTTTTTTTTCTCCGATGTATAGTATAGAAATGCCTTGTGATTCATGTGTGATTTGCATCGATTTCCGAATAGATGGGACCACACTTGCCCAAGTCGATTCCTCTGCGAACTTTGATGGCATGGATATGCTGATATGCGTGGTTTGATGCTCAAATGAGCCAGGCCGTTCGCTCGCCATGATTCGAAACCGCAGAAAAAGAGCGTGTCAATAGGGCTGATGCCATTGATATTCTGCGTTGTTTGCACCCATTCGGATGGGCTGTGAGACGCTGGTAGTAAGTACTTTGAGAAGGGCATGAACCCAACGGCTAAGAGAAGCTTCTGTTTGTTTTGCCGCCTCAGTGGTGCAAACATCCCCTTGGGTACTGTAGAAGGTCTGGAGTGGCCGAAAGGGACCTTCAAACAAGTGGATTCCGATAGAAGTTGGTGAATCCAACGACTGCACAACACTCCATGGCTTTGCCGAGCTTCCTCATTTTACATCATTTTAGTAGAAAGACAAAGACACACCATTTGCCAGGCATGCATGTCTTCGTCAGACCATGGGACATTTGATGACGGGGACACTTCTTCATGGCATGTCACAGAAGGATCATATATATATATATTATAAAATAATATACTGGTTGTTGTTGACTCAGTGTTCTATGCCGCACAGAAAGCGTCGAACCTGGGAGCCCAAGATCAAGAACCACGCTTCTGGAGGTTGCCCAAAGATCAACTGGTGATTACAACAGTTGGTTCCGACTACCACTCTCCACTGATGTGATGTGTGTATCGTGTGCTGGACAATGCTATGGATGCGCTGAAGCCTGCCTGCCATTCTTGGGGTTTGGTGTGTTCAGAGTGCGAGGCTTTGTTCCAAGGTAGGGGCTTTGCTCCCGGCCTTTTGGGGGGTCCCGCAAGTCGGAGCTGGCTTTGGGGGCTCCGCGCCCCGCCAGGTCTTTGATACGCGACAAGCGCAGCACCGAGAGGGTCTCCACTGGGAAGGGGTCGACCTTGGACGATGGGATCTTCAGGATCGGATGCCGCCCGGTAGGTCATGACCCGGTAGTAGTGGCGATGGGTCCAACCAAAGCCATCAACCCACCGCCCACCGGAACGGACTTCTCAGATTTCTGATCATCGATCCCGTGAGCGAGCGAGTGAAACTCTGAGGCTGCGCGGCCATCCGACCGTAGCTCGACTTCTGGAAGACAGGCGGCTGTGATTTCTTCCCATTTGCAGTGCTTCTGTCGGCTGGTAGAGGAGGATGAGCCTTGAAGTGGGTGGAACAGAATGTTGCCTTTTCGTCTTCGTCACTCCAGGCCAGAGCTCTCGGATGATCCAGGGTCCTTGCTGAAGTCTCTCGAGGCGGACCGAGAGAAGCGGACCGAGTCGAATGAACAAGGAATGTGTTGACGTTGAAGAAGTGAAGTGAGATGACTCCAGGATGAAGAAGGGGGTTGCTCTTTGGTTTTAAGTTCACTACGGTGGCGTAACTTGGTGGCTGTAGGGCCATTCTGCTGCACACTGTTGCTTGCTGATGCTGGTTTTCCTGCCACAGCGGAGGTGAACTCTTAGATGGACCCCTTGCCAAGAAGACTTTTTTCCCGAGTCCCAATCTGCAGCATCCATTGACATGTTCTAGACTGTGTGCAGCAGTTGTACTGTCATTTTAGTGATATTGCCAGGAGTTGGGTGTGGTAGAAGAGATCTATGGTTATTTGGACAGCAGAGAGGGCCTCAGATTGACAATGGGATGCCATGTGCAGTGTGACGCGAGCACGAACAAGCTTTTGTAAAGGGTGCGAGTGCAAATTGTCCTTCTCTCTCGTGTCCAACCAATACTTTTGCACACAGACAATCACTTGCACAGCATTGGTGGTGCCTCCAAGCATTGCTCTCTTCGAATGGGAGCTGCTCATTCCTGTTTCGTCCAAGCCGACAGGGCCTTTAGAGGCTTCGTCCACGTGCGCTCCAAGGTCTGCAGAAGCCCGAGGCTTCGTCCATGTGGGTTGTGGGTTGTGGGTTGTGGGCAGTGCTATGCGGTTTTGAGCTGACACCAGCGAAGAGAGACCGGCAACAGATCGGCGAAGTGAGGAGGGATGAACCTTCTTCCCGCTTTATCTTGTTGGCTTGAAGGCTTCTGCAAATGTCTACTCGTCGCTGCAAACATGATCCATGGACTTCCGCCTTTTGTCGGCAGATTGCATGCACAATCCCTTCCATGGATTTGCTGCATTCATCTGACTACAGGAGCCTCGAGTGGTGGCACAGCCCGCAGAGGCAGAGGCAGATCTTGCTTTGGATTTGGACCGTGATGTCGAACGATGAAGTTCTGCTTCCTCCAGAACGGTGTCGTCTAAAGGTCATGTCTACGATCTTGGGAAACGAGACACAGAGGACTCCAGCAGACAGAACCTCCACAGCCAGGCGGATCTCAGGCCTTCCTCGGAGTGTGCGACTCAGTTCTTGGGCCGACGAAGACACCCAACAGCTGTGCGACATGGGTGAATGCCAGAAATGTGACCGTTGAGTCTTTTTTGAACGAGTTGAGCCTCGACCACCTAGGCCCTGCACACTGGGCTGGCAGCTGTGTCTCCGTCTTCTCCAAGGACAGTCGGTGTAGCATTCATGCTGAAGCTGGGCATATGCAGACTTCCTGGTTGAACGTTTCTGCAGTGCCTCCCTGTGAAGTTTTGTGAACTGAAGGCCAAGCATTTCTGGACTACTTGGAGGATGAGGAGTCCGCAGGAGGGGGTGGCAAATCTGAAAGTGGATTTGAATTGGTCTTGGGCCCAAGAGGCTTTGCCAGTGCCAGTCCCTAACTCTGGAGACCGGCGTGGTCGGCCTCAAAAATATTCTGAGTGAAGTTAGGTGAACGCATGAGACTGGTGGGTTCTTGTCCAAAGAAATGAAGATAATGACCAGCCAGGCGGCAGTTCTCCTTAGACTTGATGAGTTGTGTCCACAAAACTGCAATATTAAGCCCCTCAGGTGTTGAGCTCTTTTGTTCGGGTATGGAAGATGATACTAGTTAAGTTTGGAGGGCTATTGTTTTCACTCCTTTTCTGTGTTGAGTTTATGTTTCTTTTGTTTTTTGTGGATTCCGGATCTGCTTCTTACTGCTTTTCTGGCTTTTCCTTGCTTCTCTATGACCTCTCCTGCTTTTCTTGCATTTCCTTGCTTCTCATTGCTTTTCTGTGGTTGCTCCTGCTTTTCTGGCTTTTCTTGCTTTTTCTGTGCTTGTCTTGCCGCTTGAGTTGTTCTTCCTGGCTTTTCTCCCGCTTGGCTTTACTTTCCTTCTTGTCTTTTTGTGGCACTTTGATTCCATGTCGTAATGGCCTTTTCTTTCTATGGTCTTTGTCGCTATCGGTTTTGATAAGTTGTCTTTCAATCCTTGAGTCAGTGTTGCTTTAATGCCTTGTAGTCCAGACACCCTGAAGGACAATGGCCTCCTGGACAGTTATTTCTTCTATGAACAGCTAGCTTTTCCAGTTCCACTGAAGAAACTATAGACAACCGTTGTCCAATTCCACTGAAGGATTTATAGAGAAACCCAAGAACAAAAATAACTCGAAACGCAACGCAAAAGAATCCCCAAATATAAATGCACCCGTGTTTTTTTTTTTGGGATACTATATATGGTGGGACCTTGATTGGCATGGTTCTCACCGGGGATCTCCACACGTTCCATCCCGTTCCTGTTTGGGACTGGACGTTTGCTGAGATCTCCAGGTAAAGAGCTCTCCTGGCACCTGGCGTTTGGTGGCCAACGGCTGCACAGCCGCCCGGTGCCTGCAGCCGTGGCACCCAAGTTTGATGAGGCCGGATGGGATGTGTCGTGTCGGCGCTGGTGTCCCGGTAGGTCTGAAAGAGAAGGGGAGGTGGCAGTTCCATCCCCATACTGCCCCCATACTGCGGATTTTAAACAATCTTGGCACACCTTTCTGCAAGCTTCTTGCCAAAATAATCCTAAGTAAGCAGTTTTCTTAGGAATACACCTAGACAGCCTAGACAACTTCAAATGAAATCACTCTAGTCGATTCGCCTGATCTGCTTTCGTCTCCTCCCCACCAGGCGACATGAGAAACTTTGCTTCTCTCCTTTGTTGTCTCCCCGCGTGTTGTATTTTTCTCCGCATGCGACCCGGCCACGGCGTTTTGTCGCATTGGACCCGGCTTGCGTAAAGGTTTGCCGCATTTCTTCCACTCCCACGGGAAGAAACATCGTTTGCCCTCACTGCTTTGGGGTTGATGCCGTGCACGGAGCAGCACGGTCACTCTGAGTCACACTGCACACTGCATGACGTACACATACACATCCAAGCGTGCACAGCAAATGGTCCGGCGGCATTCAGGCCATCTACCTGAAACTGCCCATGGTTGGCTCCCGCAATGGAGACTCAAGCTGAAGCATGTGATTTCATTGTCTTGTTGCAGTGTTTCAGAGAAACATGGACGAACATAGTTCAAACATGTTCAAACACATCAATTTTTTATGCCTCGGATGATTGGATGTTCACCTGAGGATTGCTACAACACCAACCGCCCGTCGCTCCCGGCCTGCTTGAGTTTGCGGGTCAGGATGCTCAATCAGCTTCATCAAGTTTCCATACCTTGACATGCCTTGGTTCCGGTCGAATTCCCTTTCTCGAGGCTGTGTCCATCCAAAGCGGCGTTAATGGGCAACGCTTTTGGTGGAACCAGCTTCAGATCTGGCAGGTCCATTTGGTGCTGGTTTGCCATGGTGGACGTGGGGACCACCAGGACCATCATTTCAGTTGGATGTTTGCGTTGATTTTAGCGCCAGGTCTTGAGTCTTGGCAGGAGCTAACTTGGAGTGTACGGAAGAAGACCAAGACCACTGGTTGAAAGGTCAATGAACCAGTGCAGGCATTTCTAATTTCTTCCTATACACATCAACTGATGCCATCACTGCTCCTTGTTGGGCACCAGAGCTTCGGTCCCCTTCTGCTCCGCCAAGGTGGTAGCGGCGAGGAGCCTCCATGGGATGCTGGTTCAGGAGCCGAAAACACCGGAACGACTGGGGGGACGGACTGGTGCACCTTCGGCAGTGGACTGGCCCAAAAGGATTCGGACTCGCGAGTGAAGAGAAGTTTGAGGTGTGGAACCAGAATGGAGTTTAGGCTAGTTATTTGGGGTTTAAGGGTTGAGGCTGACATCGCTCCTCCAGGTCAGAAGGTGCCACTACTCCCGAGAGGCCAAATCTTTTGCAAAGACAATGGACATTCCTGAGGCCAAGAGCAAGGCCCCCCAGGAGCAGCAAAGACAAGACTGGCAGGAGCTGCCCCAATCCCCGCAATGGAACAGTGAAACTCAGCCAAGTCGTGCTCCTGCATGGCAGCACCAGTTGCGGGTCTTCCAAGAGCTTGCTGAGCAGCTTGCAGGCCCACAGGTTCCTCAAAGAGCAATGGGAGCCTCCGTGCTCTGCTCAATAAACCCTCCCGATCCCTCACCTAACAAGAAGCTGGACGAAGCCAAGAGAAGGCTCCTCAAGGCCTCTCCGCTCTCAAATATGTAACCACCAATGTTTCAGTTTTGGATTATGTCATGGCGTACCTGACCTTGATACCTGTACTTTTCCCTTTGTTTATGTGATGTTTCTTCATGACCACCCTCAGGGGCGGGGACATCCAGGTGCCTCGAGCCCGGTCTTTTTCGAGCCTTGGCTCACCAGCAATGGCTAAAGCGGTTGAACTGACGATACGAATCCAGCGGAAGAAGCAAATACATTCTAGCTTCTGTCAGGCGAAGATAGAAGGCCGGCACCCCTTGGTTGGGCGCGACAGGAACCATCCACGCCCTTGGTAATTTGACCCTGGATCTCGACAGTCAAGAGGCATTTATGTTCATTTTCGTTCCCCCTTGGACTCAAGTGTCCACATCCTTTGCATGCCGCCAGGGACCTTGGTTTGCAGTCACTACCTTGAGTGGTCCTTGCCTGAGAAGCAAGAAGGACGAGCCATGGCTATGGTATGCGATTGCAGGACATGCACATTTTCCAGTTGTGTCTGAAACAGACTTCCACGTTGGACTGTTTCTTTCTATGTCGTAGCAGGCTGCTGAAGCCATGATTGAGTTTACCATGATCATGATCACATGCCATCATGACATGCCTTGGAGTATCGGCTTTGTGGCCCGAGGCGGCACTGTTTGACGACCGCTGGCCCGCTGAAGATGACTGTTGAACTGCAGGAAAAGGGATCCATTTGTTTTGGCACACGTGCCTCGAAGAACACAAAACATTTTCGCATCATAGACTCTATAACCCACGGAGTCATGCTGATTTCTGTTTTTGCAATGTGAGTCCTTGAGCCATTCATGAATATGTTCACCACTACTTTGTCCCAACATAGCACTTAAGACATCTCATGCTCTCATTTGATCTTCAAGAATCTTTGGATGATCATTTCAAAGCACCAACCCCGCAGGGTGTGGGCCGGCGGCGCCAGCTGTCGGTGGGTGTGTTGCACGTTGAGCTGGAGCTGGGGAGCTTGGATGAGCTTCAGCTGCTTCACCCAAGCGTGTGTGCTGCAATGGAATAAATCAAGCAACCAGGCGTCACACTAGCTGCTAGCTTTTGCTCAGAAGGGAGCCAAGGAGCTTCAACCAAGTCACCACTAAGTGAGCCGGACGAAGCAAGGCAGCCGGACAAATTGGCACACCAAGTAGTACAGAGAAAAATGAGCTCGTTGAAGAAGTCGACGATCACTTCGCGTGTGGGTGATTTCTGGTGAAGAAACGCCACGAAGAATCCAGGGAGATGAGCCTACCGCCCAGTTCTCTCAGGCTGAAGCCGTGTGGCGGAGAGCCAGCTCCACAGATGGCTGTCAAGGGCCCCGGTGGTCCCCGGTGGTGTGCTGCCAGATGACTGTGGCTGGCCGCCTGTGGTCTATTGCACTGGTCCATTCATGTGCATTGCAACCCCTAGAGCCTAGGCCTACAATGTGGACAGCGAAAATCAAGTTCATCCCAACTATGGAATGGGATAAATCCACCCGATTCGTGGGATGCTTGTGTTGGACAATGCTGCCGGTGCAGACGGTGCAGCCTCCGCCGCTCCGTCTCAGGTCACCGCACAGCTGAAGGCTGAAGAGCGGCAGCGGGCAGAGGTGCGGAGGTCGCTGAAGAGCGAGGGCAGGTTCAACGGGTGGACTTCAGGTGACAGCGAAAACCAAAGTTTCAGGCAGAGACAGATGTAGACAGATCGGGGAATTCTAGCAGCCAAGGTATGAGCAACATCCGAAAATTGTCTGTACACACATCTTCATGTGAGAGGAACTACGTATTTCATTGGAATCATCGAAACACCTGTAAAACGATATAGTGACCCCCCAAAAGTGATACCTTCACAAGGTACACTTCAATCACTTGATTCAAATCTACTTTGCAGCCTTGTGAGACGAAAGCCCTGGAAATCAGTTTCTTGGCTTCGTTTTCGCGTTACGTTGAAGCGACACCAAAGCCATACCCCTGGATGATCACAATGTGGTCTAGACGAGCGGATCCCCTTTCGTATCATTTTCGCAGTGCTTGTGGAGTCTGCCACAGATGAAGAGCTCTGGAAAAAGAACCGCAGGAAGGGGAAGGACACACAAATGTGTCAATGGAAAACCCTCTCTCTCTCTCTCTCTTTCTGTTTCTCCCTCTGCCCATATCCATGTGTACTTTACTTTGGTTATGTTTTCAATTCTCAAGAAATATGACAAAGGCATCCGAAACACTGTAAAGCGATATAGCGACCCCCCAAAAGCGATACATATGGAGTTCCACTTTTGTGCCCATGGGTTTTGGAGCTCGCTCGTATGTTCCGAGACCCTATTTGGCAGAGCTTCTATTTGGCACATGATGGCGGTTTCATGCGCTTTTGCCTTTTTCATTGATGAATTGAGCAAACTGGGGATCATGAGGTCAAACTACAATGATCGTAGGGTGCCAAGCAGACATTTGCTTCAGGATGTAAATCATTGTAAATCTCACCTCTGCGTGAACTCGCCTGTGGGGTTTTGTCACCTCACAGCAAACGGGCCCTTCCTTCAGTTCCTTCATCGGTTCCACCGGTCCCGTTTTCGCTGCTTCAGGTCATGCGGCGTTGCTTCGAGGAGTTGCTTCAATCGATGCGCGTTCGACACCAGACTGGTCGGTTCCGGTCGGATTTGTGCGTCCGGTCTGTCTGGAAGAGTCTGGATGGTCCTAAAGTATGAAAGTCCGACCAGGCCCTTTCTCGATTAGAGTTTCAGAGTCTAGCCGATCCATTGCCGCAATGTTTCTGCAGGAGATGGATAGTTGGTGGGCAGAGCACCACATGCAATGAACTCAGTTGAGTTAGAAGAGGAGAGGGAACTGCACAAAGATGGTCCGTTGTGTTTTGCGATTGTAGCTCAATCAGTCACAAACTGTTCGAAAAGTTTGCTTGGGTCGGTTGACTGAACCAAAGATGCAATGCTTCGTGCACGGGCCATTGCCGGGTTTATTGATATATTGTGTGTTGAGAGGTCTGCCCGCAAGGCTTCGGGCTTGTAGCAACCATGAGATCCAGATGGAGCGGGAGCAATCTTCAAGTTCGATTGCCTCCTCCGACTCCACGATGACCTTGTGGGCTACAAAAGTCACCCGCTTGGCGTTGGATGCTTGGTGTGGGCTTGGTCGGCGCCAATGTTCATTTGAGCTGAAAGCCATCACATAATATGCATATGCATGTACAAGACTTACTAACTCTAAATTTGTATTTCTCCCCAACGAGCCTTTATTTTTTCATTTTTATTGATTTGGAGATCCGAAACATAGGCTCCTTAGGTTGATGCTTTTCAAGACTATCCTATCCACTTCGGGGATACGCGAGACGTTTCTGAGGATGAGCCCGATGAGCCGTTCTCGGACAGCGACGAAGGTGGAGCAAGAAACCCTGAGCAAACTGCCCCGGAGCAAGGAGCAGGGTGAACATGTTGTTTTCTTTCTTCAGGTTCCAAAAGCGAGGATTCTCAGGGTTTTCCTGTTTGCTTGGACCTAACTTGCTCGAGGCAGCAGTTGGATCCCCACACCTTTTGCCTGTACCTGGTAGATCCCTGGTAGATGTTCATCAAGGTCACAGCTTGGCACGCTCCACGGAAGTCGAAGCCCCCAGGACCGACCAACAACACGGGCAGCTCGGAACCAGGCCGCTTGACTCCTGCCCTTCTTCGACCGTCCCGCGCGGCGGAGCGGCGGCGAACACCGGGCTCCAAGGTGTGGTTGTTGCCGCTGGAGCCCGGCGTCATAGAGGAACTCCAAGCGGAAGCCCGTGAGCGATCGTATGCTTACTTGGCCATGCCTGCGAACCCCAAGCGTGTGTATCGCCTGTCACGCGTCTACAGCTTGTAGCGGTTCACGAAAGCTCCGAGCGGTTTTCAAAGCGGGGCCTTTACGAACTCATTGGGGGCTCTTGTGCTTGTTGCTGACTGGTTTCCGCAGGAGTCGCTTAGCTTGCTGCCTTTTCTCAGTGGTGTTCAACATTTAAGCAATCTCCAACTCCAAAGGGAGCAGAGCCTGTATAGACCGTATTTAGAGTCGTTCAGAGTCTGACAGTTCAGTACCGTGTTTGCATCTGCCAACTCGGCGATGTTGCTGGGCTTGTTAGACCAGTGGGCACAATGCGCTATCATGCGCTATCCAATTTGCGTAAATGAGGGACAGTTCAGTACTGTGTTGGCATCGGCCACACGAGCCGAGCTTCGCTGAATTTGACAACGCGAAGAGTCTTGGAAGAGACGGAAAAGGGGTAGAGAGTTTTGATCTGCTACATCTACCATATCTACCAATCTTTACCTAGTCTTCCTCGAGCCTTCCAGCTGCGCATCTTTTCGACTGGTTGGTTTAGGCGACACACCGCGAATCCGGTGACCGAGGCTCTACCCTGCCAGACAGATCCGCATCTTTGCTCAGCTTGGGCCTCCGATGTTCTATTCCTAAATGTTCTATTCATGGAAGAGGCACAGATGTTTTGAGACGAGGATGTCTCTGAGTTTGTGGGAAGAAGTTTGCAGGCCTCTTTGGAAGACGGAGAATAATATTCGTACAAACTTGTACCAACAATTTGCACCTCAATGCTTTAGTGGTCCTTCTGGTCTTTTCAACCTCGACCAGTGATTCCAAGGACCGAGAGCTGCGTGTTCCTACCGGTCTCGAACTTTCTCGCGACGGGCTGAGATCGCACTGACACACTGAGGGTATGTCATTTGTTAATCAGTTGATGGCAGCTAGGCACATGCTTGTAACATCAGGTGTACACGCACTTTTTCAATTATCAACCGTACAGGATATCATGACAAACCACGAGGTACCATCATTTATGAGTCGAATCCTCTGTATACACATGAGCATTTGCGACTACGAGGTGCCCCTACACGCTGGAAGACACTTGGATGGACCCAACCATGCCTTGCGCCGGCGGCTTATCTTCCGAGAACCTGGGAAGATCCACTTCTCGCAATGAGCATTTTGTTTCGTTCTTTAACCATGAGACATAACATGCATGTTTTGTTCTTGAAGGAAACACTCCCGGTGGAAGACTCCCGGTGGAATGCTCATTCGGTTTTTGTTCAGAAACAGAAGACTCCATAAGACTCCCCAGCAGGTCGCTTGGGGCCAGATTCTGGTTCAAACTCTCCTCAGCAAGCCTCCGACACCCTACATGTTCAGGGAGTTATCTTTGCAACTTCTTCGCTGCGAAAAGGGCGGGAACATTCAACCGCAATGAGGCTTCGTGTCGTTGATCTCACAAGAACAGATGACGGCGAAGGAGGTGCTGTGCTGGGTGTGACATTCCGGCAGGGACTGACTTGCAAGTCTACTAGCGGATATTCTGAATGAGGTGGAGAAGTGGGATGTGGCTGTGAGCATCTTTCTCACCGAGGGACACAGCTCAGTAGCTTTGCCTTCAAAGGGTCTACATACCCCAATCCAGTCCTTCTGCAAACTTGGGCGGAAGACTGCTTGTCCAAGTTGTCCGCCGGCAAGGAAAACAACGACTCATGGACACATGCAGGGCTCCGTAATTGGCGTACAAACGACCGTTGCCACTTACCTGACACTGATCTCATTTGATCCCCATTTGCCTCCGCTCAAGCTGCAGGCTTCCTCGGCAGAGCCTCGTGGGGATCCTCGGCGAACCGTGCGCCCCCCGCTTTTGTCAAGTCCACCGTGCACCCGAGCGGTTCGTGTCCTGAGCGGTGTTTCTGGTTGTCGGCCTTCGGCCTTTGGCCTTCGGCTGCTTTCGGTCGCTGAGGTTGGCACAGCTTCCCTGCCATGTGGGCCAAAGGCGCCGGAGATGGTGGAGCCCAACGTTGAAGCGTGGGGTTTTGAGCTATCGGACAGCAAGAACACTTCCCTTCCCGAGGTTTAGTTGGTTTGTGGTCTGGCGATCCCCAATGACAACGTTGCTTCGAGACAATACATTTGTGAGAGTAAAGAGTGACTTGATTCCACGCCAAACTTATACAACATCGGATTCAGGGTAGTACTTGTAGGTTCGGGCGTGGACTTTGAGTCCAAGGGGGATGTTGCTCCAGTTGTCAGTGAGCCAGGTATGAATGTTTTGACACGATAATTTAGTTTCTTTCTTTGAAATAGTTAAATAGTTTTTATCTTTTTAAAATTTGTTTAATGGTGGGACATATATTCACTTTCTTTTTGAGATGAACTGGGTCTGAGTCAACTTTGGTGGAAGATCCGGCGTTGGGGATCCTTGAGCCCTGCCAGGTCGCGCCACGGGTGAAGAACGTGCCTTGCTGCTATGCTCCCTTCTCTTGGGCCAGTCGCCTGGAGAGCTGTTTTCCATTGATGGGTGTGGTGACAACGATCCAAGCTGTCATCCAGAAGTCTGCTAAGACCGGCGACCAACGACCGAGTTTCAGAACATACTGTACTCCCCGCGACATGCCGCGACGTCGCATGTCACCGCGACGCGACCAAGGCTATTCCCTGGATGCATGGTGTTGCTTGGGCACCGACGACAAGGGTCTTGCTCTTGCCTTGTTGCCCAGCTGTATGCAGCAGCCGGGGTTCAAGTTTGAAGGCCGGTTGAGCATCCCCTAGTTCAGGACACACTACTGATGCACATGCAGGGTATTTGGAAGCGCGTGACTTCCTTAGTGAACTTTAAATGCCACATAGCACTGAAGTAGATGCTAATCACCATGCAGCTGTACCCCAGTCATATTGGAGGGAGAACAAAGACAAGAATTCCGTGGGTATCCGCGTGTTTGGTTTGCGATCGGTTTCAGCTTTGGGTTGGCAAGGGCATTTATCATCACTCTTTTTTCCTCAACAGCGAAGCTAGGGGTCTTCTGCCATAGTAAAGGCTTCGGAGCAGATTCGGAGCAGGCTCCGGACAAGGTTCCGGAGCAGGTTCAGAGGAGGTTCCGGAGAAGGTTTCGGAGGAGCTTGCCGAGGAGGTGCCGGAGCAGGTTCCGGAGCGAGGTTCCGGAGGAGGTTCCGGAGGAGGTTCCGGAGCAGGTTCCGGAGGAGGAGTGCCGAGCAGGTTCCGGAGCAGGTTCCGGACCATGGTAAACCACTCGAACCATACCCGTGCTTTTGCGACATTGTTTGTAGTTACTTTTTTGGCGACCAAATGAGACGTTCCGCAGAGTGCGGTGATGTTGGTGGGCTTCCTGGAAGTCTTTGGACGACGTGAGCTCGTTGGGAAAAGGTAGGCTATGCATCAGCATGTAGCTTGATGGTTCGTGGCATAGTTTTGCAGCGTGCGCAACATGTTTCTAGCTGTTGGGGACGTGGTTTGGGCTTATTTTTTGCAAACTTGTGGTTGGTCAAATTAGCTCTTGAAATTGGCTCTCGATTCAAGACGTTGCCATTTTAGTCAACCATTAGAAAGGCGTGTTCTTGCGTTGCACAACATTTCTTCTTGGCAAATCACAATCACAAGCTGTGATGTGCTCACATGAAGCAGATGAAGGGGTGAAACCCTGTGTGTTTTTAGCCTTCCAGCATTTCCAAGTTGAGCAATCGGGAGGGACGTCAGGCGTACTTTAGAGACTGATGACTCATGCGACAAACGCCCTCTTGCACAGAGAGTCAGACAGATTCTGTGCAGAAAATGAAACTTCTGAGGCCTGGGTTTTAGTTCGGGACAAGGGCGATGCTTCATCTCCGTCGCAGGAACGGCTCTGGAGGGTTGGATGGCGACTTTGTTTTGGGTGTTGATGAAGAACTTATATATAAGAGGATTTACCAACCTAAAGGCTGTAGAGATTGCTGGATCACGGACCCTCCGTTCGCAGTTTCAGAATGACTTGGCGTCGGATGCAGTGTGTCCCTCGTCGGCACGACATGGGTTCCCTCACTAACTCGATCGGCACGACTGGGCATACTTCGACGGACATCGCAAGAGCCATCGTGTGTCTTCCTCCCCCGAAGCAGAGACCTCTCAGTGTGTCCCGAACATCCTACCTCACGGGGCAAAGTCATAGAATCCATAGACAGTTCTTTTTGAGACTTAGAAGAAGGGTGATGAGATTGATAGATCCACTAAGCTTGGGACATCCTCAGCCCTGCCTGTCTTCGTCCAGGTGACCTTCTGGGACCTTCGCACGGCGTCGAGGGTGCGCGGCGACTCGAAGGCCTTGAGGCGCACCCGGGAGTGTCCGGTGGGAGCCGGGAGGAGCTGGGGGATTGGTCCCGATTGGTCGGAGGGGGTGTGCGTTGGCTCATGTCTCTTCAGGTTTGCCTTCGGTTCTTTTTGGGCTCCTGGAGAAAGCAAAGGAAAAGTGTGTGCGGCTTTGGTCAACGCTCAATCAATGATTTTGATGTATCAATTCAAGTCCACCGGGGACGAAGATACCCCGGCCTTGGGGTGGGGAAACTTGGACAAGCAATCATCATTCTTGGATACATTTGGGTCAGTTTGGGGTGGTGGTTGGAATGTTTGCGGATGTGTGCGCGAATTGCATGATACACAGTGCAGTGATGCTTCCATCATTTTGGTCGTCATTGACATAATTCACGATAGAATAAGTTGAATAAGATCCTACAATTACACACAATCCAGCTATCGAACTATTGACCAGTGCATCTCTTCAGAAGCAACCTGACCTGGGCCAGGTCATTTGGTTCGGCGTGGATGCTGAGAGAAATCGAAGGTCGGAGGCGGAATCAAGCACTCTTGACAGGGACAGGTAGGTGGGTTCATCCTTGGGCTGGGCAAACATTACATTCCTTTTTTGCCGCATGTTTGAAGGATCTGAGGCAGATTCGTCACAGAAAATGCGATGGGAAGACTATGGAAGACACATATTTTTAACTCGGAAGTGTCGGTCCGACCCTGCCAGTATATCATGCTGTCTTCCTGTTCTTTTGCATCACTCCTGCCGACTCCTGCCCTTGACCAATAGTCATCCAGTGGGTCCTGCCGACTCCTGCCATCGCCGAGCTGTGGACGCTCCGAGCTGAGGTTGACACGGTCTTTAACCATCGCCGCGTTTTGGTGCCTTGGCTCAGACCCCAAAGATCTTGTCAGCCAGGTCGGACGGCCACCGGACGGCCCCTGAAAACGGAACACCTGGTCATCATGACTGCCTGGAGCAGTCGACCGCAATGCAGGCAGGCTCCAGTAGTGTAAAGGAGCAGGAGGATGTTTTGGGACTTGAAACTTGTCTTTTGGGGAACAAATCCTTCTTCAGACGATATCAATGAATTTGGTTCTTTTTGGTGTGTGCGCGTGTGTTCCCCGGCAAATTCTTGAGGGAAGTGGGAGCAGTAA